GTGTGTGTGTGTGTGTATTCACTATGAGCTTCTCCAAATGAACGATGACTTTCAGTGGCACTTGTTTCAAATTAAAACACAGAAGAAATTTTTACCGCAAATACTTCTTTTTTTACACAAAGTATTCCACCTTCTCTATAGTAAAAATATGTATGATAAAGCTTTAACTGAACGTCCATCGATTTCGACTATATCCACCGTATGCTCCACAGAAAGGTGGTGTAGGGACGGTGACTGGCGCCGGATTATAGTAAAAGTTTAATTGCGGTATCTATCTCACTCACTCTCTCTTTTCCCTCACCCACCTGGACCCCGTGTAATAACATAATTGAGAAGACTAGGCGCGGGATCAGGCGCGAGATAGACCGTCCTTCCGATGCGCGCCACAACACCTGGCTAGGACCCCACCTACGAGGGAGTGCCATAACAACCATCTTAGGAAGGAACCATTGCACCCTGACTTTCAGTCCGCCAGCCAGCCATTCCACACAACAAAACACACACTGGACTGGCCGCGCGGTCCAAGGGATCAGTTGGCAACCCTCCAAGCCACGGCTTTCAGCGCACCGTGGTAGCTTCAAGCGTGTTGGGTTGTTTATATTGAAGAAGGAAATGCACTGAGTCGTCGACTCCAGTCTCTCTCCCCCCCCTTCCCCCGCCAGCATCAAGCCATCTTGCTAGCCGGTCGATCGCCAAATGTGGGATATCACTGATTTACTATGACAACCCTGCTTAAGTGCCGTTGCCATTTTTATTAATTTGAAAGCAGTGCATGTTAAACATCTCAAACGAAGCATAATTACTCAAATCCACCCATCTTGGTATACAGTAATTTAGGTTCGCTAACACGCGATTACCGACCACTTCGTCGTTAGAGTACGCTGGTTTACGTGCACTGCGGATCTGGACTGGGCTAGTGGCATTGCAGTTTTGGCAATACCCTTCGCAAAAATCGAATAAACTGCGTCCCAGTCAAGTTCGGTCAGATAATAATCTCTTCTGAGACTAAGCCTATAGCCTGGCCTTAGGAGGACAGGGATTTCTGACCTGCTACAGTAAACAGCAAAAACCGTTCGGTTAATGGACAACTGCTGGTTCGGGTCGAAATTTCTGCCAAACGAACACACCATGAATGAGATCAATCCTCAGATCAAACAGGCCCACGTAAGCTTCTGCTATCGACGTAAGACCTGGCAGAAAACCGGTATACACAGTCTCTGTCGTGTCATTCCTAGATGGATGGGAGACATCGTTCACCTGCTTCGAAGACTCTCATTACTTTGAAGTATTTACTCGAACACGCAAATCTGTTTAATTTTATAATCGGTCCGGTACATCCTCCGTCAATTGTGCACTTGTTGCGCGTCCACTGAGGCGCCTCGGTTATGTACTACGCCGGCCTAGCGTCCAGGCTACATACCGCTTAGATCGAACCGGTGATGGCGCCGTGACATCGATCGGTAGATGCCAGCGACGGCACTGAGATAGCGATCGGAAGGCGCCAGCGGATGCCGACCTCGCCTCAGCAGGATTTATATTTAATTGGTTCGACTGGGCCTACGTCTGCCACCAAATAGCTGCAGTGGACGGGAAGCCTTCGTGGTGCAGCTAACCTGCAACGCAGGACCGACTGTATGGGTCATGATGGATGACCTAACGCGTGATCGGACTTCACTTTAACCAACGCAACCACCACTGTTCGCGTGTAGTCGAAGCTGGGTTTGGCCTGAGGCGCAGGTACACACTAACTACTGATCTCTAGGTCACCACAGTCCTCTCACCACAATTAAGCGTTGCATGGACAATCCTAGGGCAAAGTCCTCGAGTCCACTGCGTGATGTCCCACGACAGGCGTTTGTTAGGGCCGAAAAAGACATTGTTCACATGTGTCCTCGGAAGTTCGCCTCTACATACCCTCAGCCTGTTTACGTGTGTCCAAAATGGCAAAGGGCTATTCAATTGCCGTTCAAACACACAGGACAGGACCTGATATCAGTCAATCAGAGTGTATGCAGATGCAGCCGAGAAAAAGGTCACTATCTCGACTGTAAACCGCACCTACTATCAAAGCAAAAACGGGTGGTGAGAGGCACAATTCTGTCCTGCAACACAAATTGCAGTTCTTGTTCTCGAGCACAGAAATCCCGAGCAGACGTCAAAGACAATCGGTTGAGTGTTTAGCTTCGGTACGTAAACCGATATCATTAAATTTAACCGAACTTCCGATATGCGTTTACAATTGAGAGGATTGTTATCCTGATCGGCGTGCAGCATAAGCCAGAGATATTTCAGATGCGCCAGGACGCCGGCTTTCGAATCAGCTTCTCCGTCGCTCTCAAAAACCACAGATGGTAAACAGTGACTACTTAAGTAGTAGCATTCTTTCGATCGCTTTGCGACGCCCTTAGAAATGCAAGCCTATTTAATAGGAAAGCTGCATAACATATCCTTCCTTGTATTCATTCAGTAGCAAAGTAGGTCTTCTTCAAATTCAGCGATGATACTCATGTAGGCATCCACGAAGTCAAGTTTGGCGAACATGCGTTTGCGATTATTCATCATCAGGCAATTACGTCAGTACATTCACTTGAAGGGTATCTTTCGGTGCTCCTCAAGTTTACAACTATGAAAATTTTAAGACCACGTGATGAGCATGCAAAGACCATCGTATTTATCTGTTTATATCATGAAGTATACCACATAGCCGACCTCCATTGCAAAAGTTCACGAACCCAAGATAATATCTCTGTAATGGCATGAATGATTGTTCGTACATTCAAAGTATAGGCATTGTGGACCGTAAACACTAAGCACATGTGCAACGATAGATCATGTTTAACATTATGCAGGAATTGAAGGAATCCTTTAGAACCATTACACTTCTTTCGAGCATAACGTTAAAAAAACCCTTTATATTTTTACCAAATGACAACACAAATAACAATTGCATACATCCTTTCACTACGCGCGAAGATTCAAGACCCATATATCTTATCATTTTCATCATCCCCACAAAGAAGACGAAGTAGAAGTGACGAGGATATGGACCAAAGTGTATTTAGACTGACGGTTCGGAAGCACTCTCGGTACCATCATCAGAGTAAATATTTCGTCCTTTCTGCTGGCCGTGACTGCTTCAGCCTTGACGCCTGCTAGTTATTACGCTCGAAACACGAACTTTGACCTGTTTGTTCACCCCCTCCGAAATTGACCGCTGGTAGACTCGCGTGACAGTTATCCCCTTTGTGGCCGTCGTAATTTTTGGCAAGTCAGAATGCTTGTTGATCAACCATCACCTGACCGCTAATGGAACTCATCTGTCCCGCTCCGCTTTGGGCCTCGACAGAAGCCCTGACAGCCGTATCAGCTGTTAGTATAGGCAGATAATATTGCCGACAAAGGCAAGAGAGACTGGAGTGGCCATTTTTGGCTTATTAGCCGTCGTTAGCTAGTCATATCCAGACCCAAGTGGTATCCAACTCGAGCCTCGTACTCGCAATTTTTTTGATCAGAATCAAACGCCCTAACCACTGAGCCAAGAGCTCGTTGTCTTGCCAGTTTTCGGTCGGAGGATATTGATGAGGAACGTTCACCCGACCGCTAACGGAACGGACAAGTTCATGGGCCGAAGTGTATTTAGACTGGCGTTTCGGACGCACTCCCGGTACAATCATCAGAGTAAAGCCGTGCTTCTTTCTGCTGGCCATGACTGCTTCAGCCTTGACGCCAGCCGGGTACTT